GGGCCGGCCGCGCGCGGGGGCGCGGCCGCGGCCGCGGCCGCGGCGGCGTGCGGCGTGTCGCTGAGCGGAAGCACGACAGCGAGGAGGCGGCCGATGCTTCCGAGGGGCCGGGCAGCGGCAGCAATGGTGGCAGCGCATGGCAGGCGGCAGCGCCCTCCGAGGAGGGGGAGGATGTTGAGGGCGGTGGTGCAGATCAGCCTGCTGACGAGGACGGCAGCATGGAGGAAGCTTCTCGGCGGGATCAAGGGCAGCGCCAACAGGTGGATGTGCCCCCAGGTGCGGGGCATCCCGAGCGCGGCGCCACTGCCGCTGATGGCTCCTGCCTCAGCAGCGGCGTGGCGGCCGAGGTGGGAGCCATGCCGCAGCAGCCTCTGCAGCGACTGCCTGGCGGGCCAGAAGAGGCGGCTGGGCAGGGCGCAGCTGTGTCAGGAACGGGGTCCCCTCCGGCCCTTGATTCACAGCAGCAGCAGCAGCAGCAGCAGCAGCAGCAGCAGCAGCAGCATTCAAAATTATTCCCACCCGTGGAAGAGGCAGTACAGGCAGAGAATGACCAGGATCCGCAGCAGCAGCAGCAGCAGCAGCAGCAACAGCAGCAGCAGCATCTTCACCCGCAGGGCCATGAAAAGCAGGCTGCAGACGTGGGGGATGCTGCCGCGGCAGACGAGCAGGCACACCAAGCGCCTGGGCAGCACGGGGGGTCGCAGCAGCAACAAGGGGGGGAGCTGCCAGGGCCGCGCCCGCGGGAAGGGGACGGCAGCCAACAGCACGGGCCAGATGCGGCTGGCCCGCCGCACGACGGCGGCAGATCCCCGAGGCCGTGCGGCGCGCAGCCTGATGAGCAACTGTCTGGCGCGGCGGCGGCGGCGCCTGCCCCTGCGCTGCCGATGCAGCTCGGTTGACGCGGGTCAGGTGGCGCGGCGGCAGCCCCCCCACCCCCCAAACGCTGCTGCCTGACTGTCGATGCTCTGCACGCTGTTTGAAGGCGACCCTTTGACTGCCTGCCCTGTCTGGAATGTGCATACTTGTTTCCAAGAACAAACCCCTCTCACAGCCGGCACCCCTCTCCAACACCACGTGCGGGCGGGCCCGGGCCAAACGTGCCCCTGTCCTATTACCTGTCGTGTTTCTACACAGTGGTTTGGGCCCCACCCTCTCATGCACTCTTCCTCTGCTGTAACATAAACGCAATCGTCGGCAGAGTGAGCTGCAGGGCATGCACAGGTGCTCGAGTGACGCTGTGTTGCGATGCCAAGGGGCAGCCGTGCGGCGTGGGGCATGGCGCAGCGCCGCGCGCGGGGGGCAGAGACAGCTTGAGCCCAGGGGTGAAGGGGCAAAATAGCGGCGCACGGCACTTGGTGCGCACGAGCCAGGCAAACAGAGCGGCCGAGTGCGAGGGAAAATTGCATGAGGCATCATTGGGCAAGTGTTGTTGTGCAAAAAGAATTTTTCGCGCAAAGAGGGCGTGTATTCATGTGTGGCACATGCAGGTGTGTGGATGACTGTGCAAACTACCATAAATTGTAGTGGGCATTTGAATTACAAACAGCACGAGAAAGCTGTCTAGCTTGCAGAGAGGCCGCAAGCTCGGTGCGCAACCCGCCTACGCAGCGCGCGCTCAGCACCACTGCGCCCAACGCCGCGAAACACTTGCCGGCGCGCGGTAGCACCCTCTGCGGCCGGATGCGGCGGTGCAGAGATCACGAGGACCAAATCTGCTTCTGTTTTGTGTAGACCTGGTGCACAACATGGCGTGGACGGGGAAAGAAGGGCAGATGGGTCGGTCGGCTTGCATGTCACACCGCTGCAGCACCTGGGACGCACCCGTGCAAGCAGCAGGCCCGCGTGCCCCGATTCCAGGCCCCCGGCCACGGTGGTCGAGGGCCCCGCCCCCGGCGGCCCCGCGGTATCGCGCGCACCGCAAAGCGCCCTGAGTCCAGCACCACCGCTTTGAGGGGCGCGCCGCCGCGCCCTCTTGATTCGGAGGCCCATGTCTGGCGCCACGAGGCGCCCTCGGCCACCTGCGCGACCTACAGCGATGCGAGACGCCCGCAAAACGGCGCGGGTTTACATGGTGACATCAGGCACGTGGTTGCGTCGGCGCGCGGCAGCGCTTTGGCCGCCGCAGGCGAGCCGTGCCGTCCGCAGCGCCGTGCGCCAGCTGCGCGCCGCCCGCCTGGACCGCATCATGGCAAGACGCCGAACCAAACAATTGGTAATCGGCCGCATCCATATCACCAACGCTCGCTGAGGCTCTGCTTTTGAAGCCAACTTCAGCACCCCTGCCCCCAACCAACAGGCCCACCAGGTTTGCGTCCCCCTGCATGCACAGCCGCCCCGCGGCCCCGCCCCCGTCCCCGCCGCCGCCAGCCGGGCCCGCCGTCCAGACGACCCTGCCGTTGCCGCCGCCCTTGACCAGCTCGACGCCGCCGCCCGGCCGCACGCACAGGAGGACGCCGCGGCTGGGGGACCGCACGCAGCCCGCGCGGCCGCCCTGCTGGCTGCTCACGCACCAGCCGGCTGTGACTGTATCCGTTTCAAACACGTAGCGCGGCGCGCCCAGCGCCGGCGCCGCGGACGGCGCGAGCGCCGTCGGGGCGGGGGCCAGCGCGGGGTCGGGCGCGGCGCCGCCCGCGGGCGCGACGTTTTGGGCGAAGCCGTCAATGCTGTTGCCTGGGGGGTCGTACTGGCAGACGACAAACAGCCTGCCGGGCGCCCAGCCGGCCAGGCCGTCGCAGATCGCGTAGCCGCAGCCGACGCGCCTGGTGGCCCTCCAAATGAGCTGCGGGGCGCAAGAGAGGATCGCACTTGGCGCAGCGTGTGGGGGTGCAGGGGTAGGGGCGGCGGCGGCTGTGGGGCCGCTGGGACGGCTGACCCTGGTGTGAGGTGCGACTGCGGACAGACCAGAGGTGATACACCGGCTGACGGCCCAGGATCACAAGCGCACACACGTGCACACACTTTTTCAATTCAGCCAACCCCACAAAATCCAACACGCGTGCCACGTGCCTGCGTAAAGTGCCCTGTTCGGGGGTCAAACCCCGGCCGGCGGAAGTCGTAAATGGAGACCTCAGCGAACCATGCATCGACCGCCGCCCTGAGGCCGGCCGCCACCGCAGCACTGGAGCTGGCGTACAGATTCTCCCCGTAGCCGCTGATGTAGGAGTGCTGCCACCTGCAGCGCCGCGCGTAGGCCTGCGCGCTCGCGGCCGCCGCGTCTGACCAGGTCAGCGGCGCCGCGCGGTGGCGCGCGCGGTACGCGTTGTGCAGCTGCAGGACGTCGCGGTACTGTTGCGCTGCGCCGGCCGCATCGTCGGCGCCAGCAGCCGCGGCGGACAGGCGGCGGTGGGGCTCCGGGGGTCGGAGGCTTGGGCGGTCAGCAGTGGCGATGGTCGGCCCACCTACGAGCACCTTTTCGGCTGCCGCAAATGATGCCATCATGCAGCATAGCAGCAGGGTCGTCTCTACCCATAGCCCTGACATTGCTGCGGGTTCTGTTGTGACAAGCCGCAGCCGCTGCCAGGTACGTTGGGGCACACCCCGGCCTTGAGCTCAGGCGGGCGGCGGGCGCGGCGGCGTTGAGCCACCAGGGGTGGCCTTGACGCGCGGGAAGTGCTGCCTTGGGCACAGGCCGCTGTTTTGGGTCAGCTGCTGCAGCTAGGTCATCAAATCGTGCAATCACAATTGAGGTGAGTCCGTCTCTTTGACATCTGTGTGCGCGTGATCGCCGCACTGCGTTTGAACCGCGAAAGTCTACAAGCTACGAACACGAATGGCGCATGACCGAGGTTGAAAACGGTCAAGCTACGGCTGCTGCTCGCTCTCGCTCGCGCTGCAACCGGGGAGTACAACCTGCCAGTGACGCCGCGCCGGTGACGCCCTCTGCTGGTCTGGGTTGGGCCGAGATGGCTTTGGCACTGCGCATGCACGAATTGTGCGCTGCCATCATTCCCTGGCGTCCAGCTGCCCGTAGCCTTGTACGCCACGGGAGCGCAAGAGGAAGGCAGATCTGCTTGCACGAGTGCACGGCTGCACGTTGCGGTGCATCTGTGAGGGCTGCAGGTTCTCAGGTGCGTGCCAACCTGCTGCAATGCCGCAGCATTTCACATAATATGCACAGCAGTGCATGGGCGGCCACATGCAGTCGGTGCAGGAGCGGCATGTGTGGGCATACATGCGCCCGCGGCCATTTCAGTCTGCACATGCTGTACAGGAGACCCAGAGCAGGGCAAGTGGATGAACAGCTTTCCTAGAAAGAACTGTGGACAGGTGGGAGCTGAGAATTTGTGGTGGCAATCAAGATGTGTGCAGGGCGGCTGGCGCAGCCGTGCGCTTGAATCAGGGTTCGATACAACTGAGATTGATCCACAGTTGAACAGTCTGAGCGCACAGGACACCGCAGGGCGGCTTTGAGGCTTGATGAGGCGTGCGTATGACACGTCATGCATGTGTGGCAAATCAAAGTTGAGAGGTGACATTGCGTGATGCTTTGTATATGCGTTTGGTGGCATGGAGCAGCTGCGGCCCTGCTGACTGCCCTCCGAGTTGCAGATTGCTGTTGCAGACTTGAAGACTGCTTGGCTTGAGCAAATTCGCCAAAGCATGCACGGTATGCGCGCTACTTGGTTACCGTAGTTGTCGATGATTGCACCTGCATACATAGTCTTCACATTGTGTGCACGCGCGCGTGATCATCGCTGATCTCTCGGCAACCTTGGCGCACAACGAGCCAATACCATGCTCTCAAAGGATCAGCTCTTGTGTTTTGTGACCCCAGACGAGACCGCCGCCGAATTCCTCAGCCGCCAGGCGTCCGAAGCGGTGCCGACCGGCGTCTTCTGCGTCGACCAGCATGTGCAGCTGCGGCCTGGGCAGGTGCTTGAAATCGTGGGACCAACGGGCACAGCAAAGTCGGAGCTGCTCGCTCAGGTGTGGCGCCGCAGAGCACACACGCAAGTCATGACGCCCGCTGGTGTCGAGGCTCTCCATTTTGTGCACGATGGTGTCGAGGCTCTCCATCGGCTCGGCCAGCAGAGCAGCTGTGCAGCAAAGCTGAACACGGAGACTGGTGCCTCAAAGACACTTCCCAGGGGCGGCGATGACCCCTGGCACGGCAACCGTCACCACCGCACAGATTTCTGCCCATTTCGTGACATCAGCGCACGGCGATGACCCCGCGGCGCCCCCTGGTGGGTGCTGTCTCTCCGCTCACTGCGCCACGCAGCCCAACCCCAACCAAACACAGCAGCCGCAGCTTGCTGGATGAGCCGTCCGCCGACCCTGCCCCCTTCTGTCCTCCTGAAGTCCCCGTCCCCATGCCCCCCCCCCAGATCACGTCATCCTGGTTGATCTTGACTCTAAGTTTGACCCGCTGCGCCTGATACGCATCGTGTCCGGGCGCGCCCAAACCCGTGAGCATCCCTTCGCTGCCCTGAAGGCGCCAAACGACGACAGCGCACCGCAGCGCACACCGCCACGGTTGATGCCCGTCCGCCCGCCCCCTTGCGACCCCCTACTCAGCGGCAGGCACCGATTCCCTCCCCAGCATAGCCGCCGCGCCCTGAAACCTCCGGCACTGCCCAAATTGCGTGCGCCCGCGCAGAGCAAGCGGTCGAGGCGGCGATGGGCCGCTTTCACATGGCGCGGTGCCGCAGCAGCGCGCAGCTGCTCGCCTTCCTGGCCACCCTGCCGCAGCGGGTGCAGCAGCTGCAGGCGAGGGCGCGCGCCCCCCTCGCGTGCTCGCCCTGCCAACCCTTTGCTGTTGCATCAGGTCGAGTGGCGCCCGCGCCTGTGGCCGAGCGGAGCAGAGCACTGTTTGCACTGTGACTGCGCCTTCGAGACCCTGCTCTTCTTGCCTCACATCTGCCCTCAACCATCTGACATTCTCATCCAATCATCCGCCAGGGGAGGTGCAGCCTGCTGCTGATAGACAACATCGGCGCCTTCTCTTGGCAGGACCGCGCCAGCCGCCCGCCGCCCGCGCCGCCGCCCGGCGCGCCGCCGCCGCCCGTGCTGTCCGCCGTGGCCGCGGGGCCGCCGCTGACGCTGCAGCGCGCGCACGCCGCGACGGCGGAGCTCCTGCGGCTTCTGTCGTTGCGGCTGCGGTTGGCGGTGGTTGCGACAAAGTCGGCGGCGGTGGGCTGGCAGGACGGCCCGGGCGGGGAGGTGCAGAGGATGACGCAACGAGAGTACATGCCCCCGGCTTGGCAGGCAAGAGGTTTTGCAGGGTTGGATTCATTCGAGGCGTTTCGGCCACAGCTGCGTTCTCTCCGGCCATGCACCGCGCCCGGGCTGAGGGCGCGCACCTGACGCGCGCAGCTTGCTGCCCTGCCCTGCTCTGGTGTTGCTGGCCCAGGGCCCGACGCCATCAGGCGGGGCTGCATGCGAAGACAGGGCTGCGCGAGCGTCCTCACAAGCGCTCTGAGGCCCTGCCGCCTGAAACACCTCTCCCCTCCCATGGTGTCACCCTCCTTGCCGCCTCCCCCCAGCGCATCGTGACGCACAGGCTGCTGCTGCAGCAGGGGCGTCCCCCCGTCGTTGACGGCGAGCGGGAGCCGCTTACCCACATCCTCACGCAGCTGCAGGTGGGCTGGCGGGCTCGCCCCTTTCTCCTCCTTTCTCGTGCAAGCGGCGGCCTGCAAGCAAATTTCCGACACACCTCTTTTTTTTGCGCGCGGGACGACAGGCGGCCTGCGCGTCGCCCCTCTTCATCTCTCCCTGCCCTTCAGAAAGGATGACCCCTCGCCTGCCTCCCTAATCACCCGAATGTCCCTCTCTGCCACCTGCCGTTCCATGATGTCATGGTGACATGTAGAGCGAGGCCGGCGGCCGTTGCGAGGTTCCAGTGCCCCTGTACATTGCCACTAACGGCATAGCACCGCGGCCATGATACGGGCTCACGGCAAAGGTGCACAGGAGCAGCGCCGTTGCCCGGGCAGCCATGGGCAGGAGCGAGCTTGTTGCGAGTCTGGGGCTGGGGACGGCAGCCGTGGGAAACAGGTGAGAGACGTCGGGGGCCAGCTGCTGCGGCCGCCTCACTCTGTTGGACGGGCTGGAGGGGTGGACCCCTCCGAGGAGTACTGCTGCGGCTGGTGCGGCTGCCGCTGCTGCTGCCGCTGCTGCTGCCGCTGCTGCGGCTTCTTTGGCTGCGGCTGCGGCTGTGGCTGCTGTTCGTTTAAACCTGATTAATGCTGAAAGACATGGCGAACCCTCACCATCCTACCTGGCTGCATCGCCATCCTACCTGGCTCCATCATTGCTGGCGCGGCAACCATCAATACGCAGCAATGCTGTCACCCGGACTGCGCAGTGCCAAGGCTTCAAGGTGCCAGCGGGCTGCAACTAAACGGCAAGTCCTGCCGGCTTGCTCATGTGGTGAGATACACCTCTAGACCCAATAACGACGCCGCTACGAGTGCGTAGCTTTGTCAGATCCAAGGCCTTGGGCACTGCAGAAACAGCATCCAGGTCACCTTCGATGACTGTCTCGCTGACACTGCACAAGTTCGGCAACGCAATTCGCTGACTCTGACCTTGCCGAGATCGCTTTTTATTACACACGTGCTCTTGCATACACCACGATCTGTGAGTGCGGTGCACGCAGCAGTCCAACCCAGTCAACAGCCTGTCCTGAACATCTTTGGTGCTAGTTTCGAGTCGCCGAACCAATATATAACCCTTTTGAAAGGTTCCCGCAGTCTGCGCGGGCTCGCGATGAGCGCGCGGGGATCTGTAGATGCGTTCCAGGGCCAAGGCACCGGACAAATGCTACACAAAAGAAAGCTTCGCGAAAGCCCAGTACTGGACGGGCAGATCAAGCCGCGTCGGTGCGTGTGCGGGCAGCGCCGCGCACGTGCAGCGCAGCGCATCGAGCACCTGAGCCCAGCTGAACTTGGGCGGCATGACTACTGCTGGCATTGGTTGCCTTTTGATGGCGGCCAACTGCGCCCGGACGGCGCGCAAGCCTCCAACTCCAATCACGCCAGCGTGCTGATAGCTCGTTGACTGCCAGCCGAGATCCCTCGCCTAATTCAACAACACCCTGGACGCATGCACACTCAGCTTCCTCGTCCTGGCCCCCGCTCTCACAGCCCCTCGGCCACAGATGACCTGGTGCAACCAGATGTGGACGAGCTGCTGCAGCGCCCCAGGTACTACCGGGGCACTCAGATGCCCGTCGCGGGCTGGTTCCACCCCTGCAAGCTGTGCCGGTGCTGGACCGCAGCCGCCATGCCGCTGGGCGGCGGCGGCAGCGCGCCTGCCGGGGTGCCTGTCTGCCGCAGGTGCGCGTTCAGCAGGGGCAGCAAGGGGTACCGCTGCTTCTTTTACACACGGTGGCCGGCACGTGCTTGCTGTATCCGGCTATCCTGGGCCCCGCCTAACAACACCTGCACCATTCCCCATGCGCCACACGTTGGGCCACCCCGCTACCCAGCCATCCAGCCACACATCCATCCACCCATGCACCCACGTGCGCGTCCTCCCACCCTCACCCCACAAACCCACCCACCAGGTGCCTGCAGCAGCGCAAGCATCAAGTGGATGAGATGATGTCAGCCGCTGGAGCAGCAGCAGCACCACCTCCACCAGCATCGAATCACAGAGTGCCGCAGCCTCAGCCGGAGAGCGCACCTGCCCTAGAGAGCCCCGCACCCGAGCGGCCCTCTGTCCCCACGCGCCGCGTCTCCGAGCGGGGGGGCGTGATTGCACCAGCGGCGCCTGTATCAGCCGCTTACCAACAGCAATGTCAGCAGCCGTTCTCGCAGCAGCACCAGCAGCACCAGCAGCACCAGCAGCACCAGCAGCACCAGCAGCACCAGCAGCACCAGCGGCGGCAGCAGCAGCAGCAGCAGCAGCAGCAGCAGCAGCAGCAGCAGCAGCAGCAGCAGAAGCGAACGCAGCAGCAGAAGCAGCAGCAGCAGCAACAGCAGCAGCAGCAGCAGCAGCAGCAGCAGCAGCAGCAGCAGCAGCAGCAGCAGCAACAGCAACAGCGAACGCAGCAGCAAAAGCAGCAACAACACCGGCTGCAAAAGCAACAGCGGCAGATTGTCAATGCGGCTTGCACGCCCCCCACAGCACCCGCGGTCGCCGCTGCTGCGGGCTCCACGCGCTGGGGCTGCGCCGCTGCTGTGCCAGCCGCGATCTTCCTCGCGGGCCATACGCCCGCCGGCTGCTGCGGCGGCAGCAGCGGCAGCAGCAACAGCAGCAGCTGCGTAACGCACGACGAGTGGTGGGGCCACGTGTCGTCGGGCGGCGGGCCGCGCCTCAAGCACCGGCGGTACACGGACACCGGAACTGCATCAGCGCGCAGCAACCTAGCACCAAAGGCCGCCGCCGCTGGCGGCCACGCGCAGCCCCTGCCGTCTCACGCAGCCGCACCTGCGGCAGCTCCTGGTGGCTCTAGCGGGGAGGCGGGCAGCTGCGCGCCGTTTGACATGCGCCATGTGGTGTCGTGCCTCGCAGATGGCCACCCACAGATGCCCATGCAGCACCAGCAGCATCTGCTGTATGCGGCGCAGCAGCAAGCGACCTTTGTAGGGGCGGCGCCCACCGCCGCGTTTGCACAGCTGCCACCGGCGATGCTGGCCTACCCGCTGCCAACCGTGCTGCCCTTTCCTGCAATGCCCATCAGCTGCTGGCCGGCGTTTGTCGTGCCGCCGGCCGCCGTTGCGGCGGCAGCAGCGGCGGCAGCGGCGGCACGCGGGCAGTATCTTGCGGCTGCCGTTGGCGAGCCTGCCGGAGCGGCGCGGCCGCAGTGATGCTGCGACGCGCCGGCCGAGAGAGGGCTCTCTTGGTGCAATCCTCCCTGCTATGCGCAACAATGGGCCCGCGATGCACCTGGGCGGGCGCTTTTTTGGGGCGCTGCGCCAGGCAACTGCCGCACCCATGTGGCTGCTCGGCCGCTTCCACAGGAGGCTGTTCGCATTTCACATGCGAGGCTTCAAATGACGAGTCAGCGGTTCACCCCGCCCCTCGTGGTTCTGCGGGACGCGTGCGCCCGCCCCGCGCCACCGCTCGTGCGGCTGAGGCCACTCCAGCCGATAAGCGGATCAGGCTTGTCTGCCGACTTGGGCGATGGCCTGCCTCGCGGGCCCTGCCAGCAACCCTGACAAACACACGAATGAGCTGCGCACGCGGCGACCGCGGTCAGTGCGACGTCTTGTACCACTCCACACACACAACCCCTCCCCCAATCCTTGCCTGCTCGCCACCTGCATTGACTGCTGGCTTGGAGCACCTTCGCACCCACATTGGCAAGGCGGTACCTGCCACCCCTGGTGCTGCGCAGCGCGCCCTCAGGCTGCCCGGCTGGCCTTGTTGGCTGGCTGGGATGTGGCACGCCGTCACCGCCGTCTCGCGTACTGGCTTCACCTGCGCGAGGCTGCGACCCGCCTTTGTTAGAAGCGGGGCGCAGAGCCTCCGTTCTGGCACAAACCCCCATTCGATCACGAACTGGCGCCGCGATTCCATTTGTTGCCTTCCCCCGGGGCGCGGGGGCCCAGCAACTAGACAAGCAACAATCAACAAGAGCGCTGCGCGTCACCGTTCAATGCCTCACACATGCACACACACGCTTAAGAACTCCTCCGAGGCCGCGCTTCGGATGCCCGGGGAGTGATACACAGGGAACGCCACGCCTTGGTTTCTGCCTCGCTGATCGCGTGGCGCCTTTGCTGGACTGCTTGCGGCGCCGTGCATGGCCTCGCCGCCGAGGTTATAAGCCTGTTGCCCCCGGATGTGTGCAGAGAGGGCGCCATCCTGAGTTTGCATCGACTGAGAGACAGTGGTCGCCTCCGGGCCGCAGCCCGCCGGCTCACCAGCATCAAAGCCGCCTGCCAACGCACCGGCGTTGCTTGCGCCCGCCCCGTATACACCTCACGTTTGGGGCTGGTTGCTCCCGCCTTGCGCATCCTTCTGACCGTGGCCGGCTCAATCCTGAATGTAAGCGTCCTTGTCGCATATGCCTGCTGTAGCCCACCTGCAGACCAGCCGACAAGCAACGAATCCCTGTTGACTCTGCGTAGGCAACAACACGTGTGGTGCCAGCGGCTGCGCATTCACAGTCCAATAGATTGCGAACGGAATCTAAGCCCTCTCTTGCTTGCTGGCAGGGTTGGCAGGTTGCTTTCACAGCTCGGGCAGCTGAGCAGGTGGTGGGATCTTGCGCACCTTCTCCCGCCCCAAAACGGGTCATCTTGGGCACGCCGCTTCGGCAATCACAGGCATTACCTTCATCCCGATCGAAAGGTCGCATCTCTTCACCCGGCTCCCGGACAGCAGCAGCAGAGATGGCCTTCGCGATGCGCGCCAGCATGGGGGTGTCCGTGGCTGGTGAGGGCTCGCGCAAGCGTTATTGAAGCTAGAAAGGACTGCTACGAACACGCTGGCGCAGCCATTGGTGTCTCGCTCGTCAGAGCCCTCGCCGATCGAACCGCGGCAGTGCACTCCCCCAGTCTCACGATCACCATCTCGTGCTGTTGTTTTCTGCATTCGCAGCCCCCCGCACCCGTTCGGTGGTGGTGCGTGCTGAGGAGGCCGCCGCCCCCCCGGCCCCCAAGAAGGAGGTCGGCCCCAAGCGCGGCTCCACGGTGGGCGATGTTGTAGCAGCGTGGCGGCAGCTGGTGCTGGCTGTGGGAACCTGCCATCTCCTGCCAAGTTCCGGTGCCACGGATGCCACGCGCAGTTATTGCGCAGGGTTCACATGCCCCGATGGCCGCCGCTCTTCGCAGCGGCGGTGAGTGCCCGTTTGCCAAACGCCCGGTCGGATGGCGCTCACCCAACTCGGCCGCGCCGCGTACGCGCCGCCTGTCGGGATGAACAGGTGAAGATCCTGCGGCCGGAGTCTTACTGGTACAACCAGACCGGCAAGGTCGTGTCCGTCGACCAGGTGGGCTGCGCTGCTGTCGCTTACCTGGGCCCTCGGGGGCGCGGGCAGGGGCAGGATGGTGAAGCGCAGCACGGGAACCCGGACGCCCCATCTGCGCATGGGGCGCGAGCGTACGGCGGAGCACGATGCCGGACCCGGCCAAACCTGGCGGGCGCGACGCCCCCGGATCGCGGGCGCCTATCCCCACCGCCCACCCCCTGCTGCACCCGGTGCGCGCGCCCCCAGAGCGGCATCAAGTACCCCGTGGTGGTGCGGTTCGAGACCCAGAACTACGCCGGCGTGACCACCAACAACTTCGCGCTCGACGAGGTTGAGAGCCCCAAGAAGTAAACAGCCCGCCGCCCCCTCCCGACCCCTGAGCGGCCTCGCCAGCAGCGGCGCGCAGCCATGGGGCCGCGCCGGACCCCCGCCGGCGTACGCGAGGCGGTGCATCCCCGCCCCGCCCCCAGCCCGGCCGCGCAGCCAGCGGCGCGGCAAAGCAACAGCAGCCGCAGGCGCGCGCCGGCGCAGCAGGGTTTCTGATGGCGCCCGAGCAGCGCGCAGCGCGCAAGGCGCAATCGCGGCCCCCGGACTTGCCCGACCCAATGCAATTTTGAGACAAGCGCCGGTCAACAGACCGGCAGCCCCCGCTGTGTAACCGCAGTGCCCTGTGGTAACACAGCTGTTTGTGGTGTCTGGGATGGTGAAACAGGGTGTTGTCATGGGCGCAGCCCTGCCAGCCGGGAGGGCTGGGCAAACCGATCCGCTGACAAGGCCCCATCACAGCCACGGGGTTGAGCTAGGGTGGCGATGGAGGCAGGCAGCTGCAATTTGCGGGTGTGTCAGGCGCCCCTGTCAGCATAGAGCATTGACAGTCCACATGAGACTGTACGCCTGCCGAGCGTTTACTCAGCCATGGATTTCAGGGCCATTGAGGGAGCTCCCCGCCTGTTGGCCCCCAAAAAGCTGAGATCGACTGAAACCGGCTGGGCTCGAAGTGTTTCAAATCGGGAGTGCCAAAGGCCCTGGCGCATGCTGGTTGACGCAGAGCAGCTGCCTTGTGGGAAGGCTGTGTCATGCAGGGTTGAATCTCGGGACAAATTTACAACCCTAATGCGTACGGCACTCGAGCTCCCTCAAAAAACCTTTATGTGGTGCAGCAATGGCAGCTAGTACGAATTGGGGGGTATGTGGAACTGTGGAGCTGCACAGATGGACTGGTCTAATCAAAGCGAGCAACGTGAGATAAGGTGGCAAGCCCACAAGCAGGTGCCCCATGTGCCAAAAGCAATTTAAGTGGGTCATCTCTGCCAGTCTACACTCAAGGGGGCGTTGCCGCCGTGACACAAGGCTTCGCCAGGTGCGGCCAGCTGCATGCGGATTGCGAGCGGCCGGCTGCGGATGGCCCCGCGGCTGCTGGTCTGGCGGCAACGGCGACGCGGCAACCGCGGCGTGTGAGCAGGTGGCCGCCGCCCCTGGCGCATGCTCGACTTGGTCGGGGGTTACTTGACGAGGGGCCTGTCGTGCTTCGTGTCGCCCGAGCAGCTCATCTCGCGGTACCGCTCCATCTCTCGCAGATACGCGGGCTTGCTGGCGTCATCGTCTGCAGCGGCGGCAACATCGATGACGCGCGCGGGCAGCGGGCGGCGGCCGGCGGCGGAAGGGGCAGCGGGAGGGGGGGAGC